CGGACTTTTGATAGCTTTTCAAGAACTTTTTTTTTTGTTTTTCTCGATGCATCACTCATCGATGCGTGGCACTCGGTATACCGTAATATCTGGGAAATACGCTTTTAGGGAGTATCTGCATCATTAGACAATATCGCTACGTTTATAGTTAGTTTTTAAAACTTCCTGAACTTTCCTTTATGCTTTGCTGTAGGCTTCAAGGACAGGAAGTGGTTAAGGCGAATGAGGTCGGAGAGAGCAAAAGAAGTGATTTTGATTGGTCATTCATTCATTTATTTGATTGCCCTGAGCTCGCTGTACTGGCAAATCCCAGGTATGTTTTGTTCAATTTGCTTATTATGAGCCATGCCCTTGGATCCACATAGTGTGCGAAATCTGGCTAGTTGGACGGGCCTGAGGGATCAACAGTTCATTTTGGAATTTCGTTTGATTGCTCTCCTCATCATAATTGCAGTGAGATGTTAAGTAACGGGCGTGGAACCCCGATGCTGTTGAGGTACGGTCACAAGTTGATCGCATCTGTATTGGGCTTGCATTTGCTGCTTTTGCTCCCAAGTCACTTATTTTTTTTTTCAGGGCTGTATGGCGAGAATGGCTTGATACCAGTAGCGTCAAAGCTTTCTTGTGGTTTGTTATTTTTTTGCATATTTATGCAAATGCAAAAACGCACATTGTCGAGTATTTGACCCTGTGTGTGTGTGTGTGTCCGGAGACGAGTGAACTTTGTAATCCGCTTCAACAACCAGGAAGGCCGAGAAAGTGAAGTTTTGGTAACGTATTCCTTCCTCATTCCTCTCTTTTTAAAATTAGTGGACACATGCGCCTAGGCCTTACTACGGGCACCTAAAAAAAAATGTATTTGGTGGGAAACGATTCACGACTGGCCAACGTAGGAAGCTGAATCCTTGCATGGGTCCTGTCTGTTCATGTGCACCCCATTGATCTCAAATTCAGCTACCGCGCACTCTTACGTCACTCGTATGGTCACACCGAAGTCTTCATTTGGCACTATGCCAGCTCAAGAACTAACCTGAATAGAGTTTCGAATTGCACTTGCGACACGTCCTAAGGCACATTAAAGACATTTTTTACAGTGTAGGGAACTCAGGTACTTGAAGTACTTTAAGGCTGAAATTTTACAAGGATATTTTGTATCAACGTTTAATCTTAATTCAGTTTGGAGACTAAATTTCTTATGCATGGGCATGACATGTGTTGATTTCTATTTCAGCCTCAAATACAAGTGTATTTTGCGTCATTTTTTTCTCTCTACATCTTTTTCATTATCGAACCTGCATTTTCAAATTTTCCAGTAGTCATGCATGCTGGAAGTTAAGAACTCACATGCTTTCATAATGCAACCCCTCCGTCCTGGCCGACGCCATTTTCTCCCTGCATGCTGGAAAAGATCAAAGCATTGCTCAAATAAGTGCACATATTAAAATATGCAACAACCATTCATACTGTTAACAATCTGGTTACTAAAGTTTAGCGCAAAAATGCGTAATCGCATCGGAAAATTTGGCGTGCGCTACATGCGCTATTACTTAAGTTATTTATTAATCTGCTCTTTTCTGTCTGGGTTATATATTAATCTGCTCCTTTATGTGCACCTTTCCTGACAAATCAAGCAAAAAATCTTTAGAAATTTTAATCATGTTCTATTGGGCTGTGGGTATAGGTCTCGTATTAAGTTGAAGCAGTGTTCTGAGAACTTGAAGCTTCATCGCTGACTTTTGTTATAGTTCTAATATCATCTCTTCAGCATACTTAAAAAAGTGGTAAGAGTCTAAATCCTGTCTAAATCCTACGTCTCAGTGCTGCCTTTCTGCTGAGGAGATGTTGAGGTCGTTTGCGTGAGAAAGAGAAAGATGAAAAAAAAAACAAAACGAGCAAAAGAACACAAACAAGGATGCTTGAAAACTCGGATAGACATAAAGTTTGGCTCAGCTGACACCAAAATTAGTTCTGGATTTCTAAACTGCATTAAATTACCGAACTGGTTCGAGAGGTGTAAGTTCAGCGGTAAAACGCCGCGCTTAAGTAGTCAATTTGTTAAAATAAGGTATAGACATAATTTTGGATTAAAAATGCCTTCTTTCGAAAAATTGATGCACATCCTGATGACCACTTCATTCAGATGGGACTTTGTGTCGCGCGCTTCGCTATGGCGTGAAT